ATACTATTTCAGAAATCCAAAAGCTTATGAAAGTGCAAAAGACAAGACACTGTTAAACAAAGAAACACTGAAAATGCGTTCAGTCCAGCTCACGTTCAAGCAGAACTAACTGATTTCTTGAAGTTATTTACATCTTAATCAGTTCTTCAAGAGTCAAAATGAGAGTTCCAGAACCCACCTCAGTAATACACATCAGTGCTTAATCAGCACACTAACCACACATACACACAGCTCAGAAGAATGCCAAAGACATGCACCCTGCCACCGTCATTGCCGTGTTTTTTTGCCTTATATACCTACTTCATCAACGGATTTAGAGGCATCCACTTTTCTGACTTTTCCCATTCTCTCATACAAGTCTATTATAGGCTTAGTAGACTGCAGATACGTATTAATTCTAGGAGAAAGCACAGGGGAAAACGCATTACAGAGTAAAATACAAACAGAAGTGAACGGAAAAGTTTTGAAGATGGTACCTCTTTTCCAGACTCTCCCGATTGTCATCACTCCTACCACTGCTCTTGCCTCTTTCAAGACAGCGGCTAACACATATCTACAAAAAACATCAAAAAGATGATCACAACCAAGACCACAAGGTGCTATGTTGAAAGCAGGAACAAAACAAAAATTCTGAGTATCTAACTAGGCCTGACACACAAAATACTATCCCAGTCCGGTGGATGTAACCAGAACTCACATAGAAAGTTAGATTCTTCCAGAGAAAAGGGAGGCTAGCTTTACACTTCACCAGTTCATTAAAACAAGGGCTTTTAAAATGGGACTGGGGTCAGTGGAAGGAAAAGCAACATCAAGCTCTGTGGTTCGACTGGGCCTCCAACTCGAGACGTTTAAAGAAGAAAATTAACTTATTTGCAAGGATGTGTTCAGACTTCCTGAAAAGCAGCATGTCAAATTAGACTGCTAATATATGCCTGCTCTGACAGAAAGTCACTGTACGTTCCCAAAGTTTTGTAATGCTACATACTAAGTTATGTAGCCTATTATAAGTTAAGTCTATTATAAGTTAAAATGTTCTTACTTGACATTGCTATAATGAAGACTTAAAAATCAAAATCTAAGTAAAAACAGAAGAAATAAGTACAGTTAAAAGATGCCCAGTGAACGAAGTTTCGAAATAAAGCTAAGCGACGCTGACGCATGCACACCTCATTAATACGTTTATGTTACTCATGCAAGAGGATAGTAGTTTAAAATTATTTTTTCCTACAAAGTACACACATAGTTAGAAAAAAAAATAATAATCCAGAAGATCACGTAGGTATTGTCGTCTATTTTCAGTTGTAGTAAAAAAATTACAACCCCAAAATTAACACCCCACCAAGTGAAATAAGATTAAATTATTTTTTTAAGTTTTTAAATAGAAAAAATAATCCCCTCACTTGTTCTTTGATATTAAAAAAATAATTGCAACTAAGAAAAAAAAAATTAAAGTAACAAAATTTCTAAGGAAACTGTGAAAAAAGGTAAAAGAAGGAAATTAAGCTCAGGGTGCTGGGATGCTCATATCAGTTTTTATGCCCCGAGGGCACTGATAGATTAAAAAGACAGCTTACCATGGCACTTGTTAAATGAATGCAGTGTATCACTGTCAAAACGCCCTTGTAATCTAATGACTTGCTGAATAAAATGTTGAATACTGGCTGCCACATAGCACATCTCATAACTATGAGAATAAAGACTGGTGCTGCCAGCCTTTTAGAATTAAAGTAGACATTGCTATCAAGTTCATTTTGGACTAAACAACAGCTACTAAGAGCAAACAAAATAATGTTTTAATGAAATAACTTTGTATAACATATTTAAAGTTTATATAAGTTTTCCTTAGGAATGCAATTGCATGTAGCACTTCTTCAATATAACTTATTTGCACGTGATTCTACCAAGTGTAATCAGCCGCCTGTTATTTCAGAAACATGCAGGTTTTTATCTGCAACAAAGGGTTGCCAAAAAATCCTTGAAACTCAGACTGCGTTTTCCTTCCACTCTTCCACTAGTCCATTCACTACCTGGCAGAGTTTTATTGTTCTTCTTGAACGATTCTCACAAGACAGCAAGAAAGGAAGTTACAGAATAACATACTTCATTACCTCATTGTCACAATCGAAAAAAAGAACAAAAGAAACATCAGCCTTTCCATCCATAGTCTTATTCCAGCCTTGAAGATTATCTTCATTCCTGGGAAATCCATCAATCAAGAACTTGTTCTTCTGGGAATTGGCAGCCATTGTTTGATCCATAGCCTGATAAAAGAGAACTCAGTTCATGATCTCCTGCACATACAACTAATTAACCACTTATTAAATTACCCCCTAAATGTTGACATGGTAAGTTGAGAAGCATTTATCTTAGAATTATTGCAGATTTACAAAATGTATTTCTGTTTTGTATTGAGTGCACGACAATTAATTAATTGATGCGCCAATTCTTACAAACTGAATTCACTATTTCATAAAGCTCAAAATCTTGTAACACGCAATCCCAGCTTTAAAGCTGATTTTCTGCAAGATACTGGAAAGTGCTGTTACACAAGATGACAAAACTTTCCTGATCTAGAGTTAATTCTAATGGAAAAACTCCAGATAAATTTCGTGCCATAAGCAACAGAAGCCTGTTCTGTCTTAAAAGAGATACTCTGGTTGTTTTCCTAGGCATTTAATAAGGACAAAGGCTGGAGCTTTTCCTTCCACAGGAACATTAGCAGATGCCCTTGTCCTTCACCTGGCTATCTATTTTGATAAAACTTAGTACCTTTAAGGCCTTTACCCTCCAGCCAAATATGACTGAGCTGACCAAGAGGTTCAAAAGCTAGTTAAGGGAAATAAGAAACACAGAGTTTCACTGATTTCCCTAGAGCTACCAAAAAAGTAACAAAATAAAAATAATCCATTCTTACAGATCCCCAGGTATCAGAGGCTACTGCCCTCCAACCAGCCAGAAGGAAACGCGAGTAATTGCTAGAAGCCCAGTACATGATAAGCACCTACACGTCTGCCACTTCATAGTGCTCACACCAGAGTAAAGGCAATCCTGCCACAATACGGCCACTGCTTTGTTGCTTAGACTGCAAGAGCGACCCAGCAAGGAAATAGCCCTTTCCTTACCCTCTTGATCAAGCTGATTGTTATTTCAACCGGTACAATTTCCCCTTCCTTAATGTAGTTCTCAATGAGTTCTCCATACTGTGAGCCTGGCCTTTTTCGTTCATCTCGAAGAAGGTCACCAGCAGAAAGGTGCGTGTAGCCATATTTCTGAAACGTGAAAACAGGCACAGGCTCCTTGAATTAGTACATATGCAAAGTTCACATCAGTCAATAGTGTCAGTCACATTTATCTTTGCATTACAACAGAAAAATACAGGGAATAGCAGCTTGCTACTGACAGATCTATACCATCTTCAGTGTCATCTGAAAACACAGCATACTTGGTATGCACTGCCCAGCAACAGAGAGATTCGTGGGTAAAGTGCTCAGTCAGGCCTTCGTGTCCTGCTTTCAAAGGTAATTTTGTCACATTTGGAAAAAAAGACTGTCTCAAAGTCCCCAAAGCGCTTCCTGAAATGTTACAGTGCGCAATGAGCCATTTAACAATCACCAGACTGGATACAAGCGATACCTCATCCTGACAGTTCAACTACTTAAAAATTGTAAGTGGTGATCAGTGACTGGGACAAGTCTTGATTTACAAAGTGTGGAAATTGAGACAATGCCTTTCCTTGCTATGTTTACGCAACAGGTTTGTAATGTTATCTGGCCACTTTTACTAAAGAAGATCACATGAGGTAATTCCAGGTCCTTCTGAGCTGAAAGAATGTTTAAAGCACGGCATGACTCAGAAATCCTTATGTTCCCATTGCAGTTCCAGCATCAACTTCCTCCTCCGTCTCGGACAAATCACTTGTCACTCTGCAGCTACACAAACAGCCTTAGCCATGCACCCCTCCAAACCCAGCCCTGCACGCCTGCCCCTGCTACCTCCTTCCCTGGGATGAACACAGCAAACTGGGAAGGCAGACTCTGGGGGACGGTAGAGCCATCTCGTAACCATGATGTGGCAGATGAAGGTAAACAGCTTTGCTGGTGCTACCCTATTTCACGCCACGTACAGTAAACAGAGAGAGCAGAGAGATCAGGTCCAAATCTATCAGTCTGATACCAGTATGCAGGAAAAGAGTAAGCTCCATTACTCTTTTCTTTCGCCTCAAATTACATCTAAAAAAGCTGCTATTGCAAAATACCAATGAAAAGTATTTATTTCACTTGAATTTCTCAGGTATTTAACATCATAAATAGACACCTAGTGCAATCACACAAAAACTCTCTTACTGAAGAATAATGCATTGTTATAAAAGAAATTTCAGAGCACAAAACAATCATTTTCTCAGCTCATTTAACACCACAAGAAAACTAACCAAGTGTACTATGCTCCTTGATCAAATACAGTCCATCAAGACAGGCAAAAAAGACATCTTTGTGATTACCTAAGCTAGCGAGACATCCAAAACAGAGTACACCTACACACACTCCTTCTAAAGTTTTTACACAAAACAAAAGCAGCAGCAAAAACCTTCAGGGTTATCAGCTTGGCTGCAGCAACATGCAAAGCAAATTTTAAGAAAAGCTGTCTGAGTAGCACAATAATGTGACTACACACTTTTTTAGGCTGTGAACTTGGGATTTAAAAAACTTGGCTGCTGAACTAAGTACAAAAAAAGTATTACACAACCCACTAAGTGACTTTAAAAACATTTCAGTTGCTTTCCAATTTCACCCACAAAAGCGTGGAAAGTTACTTCTGTCATAGTCATAATTTAAGAAGGGATATAATTACCTAAATCTCCAAAACTCTACACAGCTGGTGAAAAAAAAAAGGATGCAAGATTTTGCTCTAAATAACTGTGAAGAAAAAGCTGCACAAACATCCTCTATAAGCTCACTATATTCCCGCTTTAATGTGCATTGCATTTGGATATGCCTATTTAATTGCAAATCTAAATATTAACTATGAACTACAGAAACCATAAACCAGAATAAATCTTCCCTTATAAGCAAGAAACCTTACTTTTTTTAAATTAACATGTAGTTCTTCTTGCTAAAGTTAAAGAATGATGATATTTCTAACATTAAGTTTCTGCAAAGGAGAAAATCGGAGGAAAATATAATCCCTTCGGTTTTAGAGGATTACCAAACCATTTAATTTCCTTGGCATTTCCCTTTTCATGCATGAAAACAAAATTGAGTCAGACAATTTTTTGAATTCTCTGTCCTTTGCAACAGGAAACTAAAATGGCTTTTAATGGCTGAACAGGAAAGTAAAAGAAGTACCTGAAAGTGTTGTTGCATAAATAGACTTGTTTTAGATAATAGTAAATTGTGTTTTAGAGTAACCTTCAGAATGGATTAATCAGGCAATAAGAAAAACAAACCTCTCCTTCAGGGGCAAACATGTATTTGTTAACTGTACTGAGCCAAGAGCCAAAGACAACAGGTCGGTTTAATCAATGCAAACAAGCAAGGAGAAAGGCCTGGCTGCTGCTCCATACACGGAAGCCTTCAGAGATGCGGTGCTCACGCTGCTCTTGCCAGTTTTCAACAATGCACACAGGGCACAAAGTTTTATTTCACCTTAGGCGAGATAAACGCTCAGCAAGTGTCCTGAATTGGAGAAAATCATCATATCCCCAAGAGCTTGTGAAAGAAATTGGGATGTAACAGCACAAAAAACCTGGGCAAAACGGCAACTTGCTGATACCAGCATGACTTTCCAGCAGTGTCAAGTACATCTTGATGCTATTCCCAGAACGTGACTTCTTGCAACTACAGCCTAATCCTTCTCCTCCAAAATTAGAAAGGGAGCAGCACTGCAACTGCCTAACAATGAAAAAGCATTTTCTCCAGTTCTTGAAGAACGCATATGTGCTAGATTCATAACGTCCGATTGAAAGGAAGACTTGAAATAGAAACTAGGTTTAAAAAAAATTTCCAAACACTCAGATGCTAACCACCTAAAATCTGGACAAATTTTTAGATCACAGAGACAAATAACAGAAAATATAGAATTAACTATTATAAAAATCATTTCAGAGATAATGTTTTCTGCCATGCTAGCACATCAACATGCTGTTCTGTAAGAAGAAAAAAACATCACATCAGTAAATTGCTATTACACAAGTTCTTGTTATTTTTAAAACTATTTTTATATTTGGAGAACCATCGTCCAAATCTCTTACAAAAATTAACTGTGAATGAAAAAGATAAAAATCAGGTGTCTTCAGCACCACTGTAGACATCATCTTCCTCACAGTGCTGAGGAAAGGCAAGCTCAAGTTTCTCTCAATCCCCCCCAGAGGTGTTCCTCAGCACAGCTATTAGCAGTACTGCATAGAGCAGAGCAATACATTGCTTCTTGGTTTGTCTCACAGCAGCCTGGCAAACCAGTCCCCATGCAGGACAAACTAGGACACGCAAGCTGTATGCTCCGTATCTCCAAATTACAAGCCAAGACTGCAGTCCCCCTGGAACGCCCTTCTCTCCCCTGTATTACAGCCACGTCTCACTTTCTTCAGTCAGCCAGGATTTGCAACTTCCACTCCCCAAACAGGACGTGCTTTGTTTTCAGTAAATACAGTAAATCTATTGACACAACTGAAAACACATGAGTCACATCTGCGACACACTCGAGAGGAGGAGTCTACCGGAGTCTTCTCAAGGTAGCGAAAAAGGACCAGCGGTGCAAGGACTCCTTACACTGCCAGCTTTTGAGGGGGACGAGGTTTTTATTTCTGATTCAGCCACGTGTGGTCCAGCAACACATCTCTCTACTACAGAGACAGCTTGAGACTTCCTTAAGTGAGCAGAAGCCAAGAAAAAGCAAGAGAAACACAAATTACTACTGTTACCTTGACTGCTATCTCAGCTTATCATTGTTACTTTGAAAATGAAAGTCACCGGGCTTAAGATCTGAACAAATAAAATACAAACTTTTATTGCTCTACTTCTGACCTGTCACATCTTGGGCAACCTTAATAAACAACAGAAATTTGCTACATGTCCTCAGATACACCATTCAAGAACTGGTTAAAATAAATACAGAACCGTGTAAAGCTTGCAGCCTTCGTATTTTTAACCTAAAAAGCTTTTGTCCGTCCTATTAGTAATCAGCACATGGAATTACAACTTTGGGGTGTAAACTATAATGCAGTAATGGACCTTCTGTCTTAAAATATGTTCTTGCCTCAGGGAGAACGACACCAGCAATGACAAACAAAACAACATATTAACAAAACAACACGCACACAGGAGATCCCGACTGCTGGGGAAGCAGGGGCAAGCAGAGCAGTCCAGTGCTTCAGAACACTCAGCTCAATAAAAGGTACCCAGTATGTCTGGGAAAGTACAAAACTCAATGCCCAGCGAGTGAGCCTGTGTTCTGCAAAATGGAAGCACGTAAAGATAAATCTTTGCAGGGTGGATTTATATGGTCACTCACCGTGTTTTTAAAATGCCCCATAGTTCAGAAGTATAAACTTCTATTAAAAAAAAATCACTAGGAGAACTTGAGACTAAGTGGACTACTAATACTTGGGGGTCTTGAAAGAGATTTCTTAAGTTCAGTTTAAAGCAAACAATTTTTAAAACGTTTTTATTTCAAGTAACTTAGTGCTGTCTCTCAGCAGACCTCCAGAAGACAATCAATACATGAAAGCAACACCTAAATCCATTGTTAATTTCACAGAAACGTTTCTGATACAATGAGTTCTCATTTGCATTGCTTTCTTTGCCCTAGGAAATTTCCTTATCGTACATCCCAAAGGAACTTAACAGCTTTTTCTGTTTGGATATTAACTGATGCTCTTACAAAAGGAGAAGGCTCAGCATCCCACCTTGCAGGATTAATTTTAGATTTAACCACAAATATACAGGATAGGACTGTGGTGGAGGTGAATTTATATTTTTGGGTACAGAGAGGGATGTCTTGCATACTACAAACCCCTACAGAATCACCCTGCCAAAACAAACAAAACAATACAACAACTCAAATCTTGCTTGCAATACAGACAAATTTTACTTAGGTATTAATCTTCCCTCCAGGCAAAAGGTTATAAGAATTTAGGTACATGAAAGCATAGATGGAGTCAGCTTAGATTTGAAGAATGCAAATTTTTTCCCCTTGACTTTACCACAACCATTTGGTAAGCAAAGTTCAGAACTCGGCTATAAACCACATTAATTTTCTCCTACACACAGATAAT